AAATCTTACCTGATTTCATGATTTCTACCTAAAAACCTGCTGATCACATTATCTCTAATTTAAAAGCTGTCTGATCCCTAGAATCGTACCCAATCTCATGATTTATGACCAAATATCTGCCTAATCTCATAATTTCTAACTACAAACCTGTCTGATCTCATAATTTATTACTAAAAACCTGTCTGATTTCATGATTTCTTATTATTATCCTACCTGATCTCATAATTTATGATTTCTAACTACAATCCTGTTTGATCTCATAATTTATGACTAAAGACATGTCTGATCTCATGATTTCTAACTATGATCCTGTTTCATCTCTTGATTTATGACTAACAACCTGTCTGATCTCATAATTTATGACTAAAAACCTACCCAATTTAATGATTTATTACTAAAAACCTGTCAGATCTGATGATTTCTAACTACAATCCTACCTGATCTAATGATTTATTACTAAAAACCTGTCTGATATGATGATTTCTAACTATATTGCTTCCCGATCTAATGATTTATGACTAAAAACCAGTCTGATTTGATCATTTCGAACTATAATTCAAGCCGATCTAATGATTTATGACTAAAAACCTGTCTGACTTTATGATTTCTACAGCGATAAAAGCAGCCGAACAGCCATTGGCCGCGAGTGGGTGACCAGACTGTGGCGTCAGGAGTCCCAGGGATGTTTTCCAGGCTTTTCCAACAGAAGCGCCTCGTATTTTATCTGCATGCGTGGAGTCGTTTATCACTGCTCCGCAATCAGCCAGAGCCCCATAAACCCAGCGGGTCTGGGGGAGCAGAGCAGAATACAGAAACACCAGATAACACAAAACAGCCCTGATGACTTTTTCTGAGCTAGTGAGGACGAATCAGAGTCTTTAACCCTTTAAATATTTAAAGAATATTGGATTTTTTTAGTCTGAAGTCTTTCTTTGGCCCCTCAACAACATATGAAGAAAAAAAAACAGAAATTATTCGGATATTATTCGGATCTGTAGTCACAAGGTGGAGCTTTTAAGCATCACATAAGTCAAAAATATATTTTCATGTAGTCTTCTACTCACTGTTGTCAGGTATATCTGAAAATATAGTAACATATTAATATCTGAAAAATAGGAAGAATATTGGATTTTTTTAGTCTGAAGTTTTTCTTTGGCCCCTCAACAACATATGAAGAAAAAAAAAACAGAAATTATTTTGATCAAATTAGCGTCATAAGTCAAAACTATATTTTGGTGTAGTCTTCTACTGGCTGTTATCAGGTATATCTGAATGTGTACAACAGGGGTTTGAGCAAAGCTTTTACCACTGAATGATGCAGAAAGACTCAGATCCAAAAGACTTTAGAAACCGTTTGTATCAAATATGACACATTTGGCATTATAAGCTTAAAAGGTGTTGAAGGGTTTAACCCTATAATGCCAAATGTATTATATTTGATACGATATTTGAGTTTTCTTCAGCTGTAAGCCATAATCAGCTATATTAAAACAATAAAAGGCTTGCGATATTTCAGTTGATTTGTAATGAATCCAGAATGTATGACATTTCATGTTTTTTAATTGCATTACAGAAAATAAAGAACTTTATCACAATATTCTAATTTTCTGAGACAGTCCTGTATATTTTTGACTTATTGCACACTAATTTGATCAAAATAATTTCAGTTTTTTTTCTTCATATGTTGTTGAGGGGCCAAAGAAAGACTTCAGACTAAAAAAATCCAATATTCTTCCTATTTTTCTTGGATCGGGCTTTAAAGGGTTAAACACACGACAGGATCAATGTTCGTCTCTCAGTCTGTAACCAGGCTGGTTTTTCTCCCCCTTTAAAGAGTGATAACAATATTTATTTGCATCTAATTTAGCTCTTTTCCACCCACAATTTCCTATTATTGGAACACTCTTTTAGGGGTAAAACTCTATAATTTCTCATTATTTATCTAGATTCCTGCTGGAGATTTCCCAATTTTTGTGCGTCAACCCCTAAACTCTGCTCCATCTTGTTTTCAAGGCTGATGTAAAGTTGGATTAAACCCAGTTTTATGGACCTGGGGTTGGTGGCGTCACATTAAAAGGCTCAGCAGTCACAAGGTGGAGCTTTTAGGCATCACATCAGTCCCATTTCCCACTTATCTGAAACAAACTTGGCTTTTAGCTGCACAAACAAAGCGAGCGGGAACCAAAATCAGCCTTCAACGCGAGTATTTACAGCCTGAAAGTGAAGATAGAGCTGAATATTCAGGCTTTTAAGGGTTGAAATGATCCACCGAAACAGAGAATCAATTTTCCTCCAAGGCAAAGGATTATGGTGCATTAACTTGATTGATAATAACAGATTAAATGTCACTTTTCCTGGTTAACTGTCAGATGTTTGGAGGCCTGTAATCTAAGTAAATGTTGCCATATATCCAGACTGTGTGCTTCGGTGTGGGATGGTTATTAGAGAATTTGCCTTGGACTTTCTCAGAATATCCAATATGTTGCATTTAAATGCAAATGGTAACCTGGGACATTTGGATTTTAATATATTCCTCTGATATTTTTCTCTGTAAAGCTGCTGAGTCAGTAAAAACCTTTTAAAATGAGCTCAGAAGTCTCTGATTGAAACTCGCAGACCTTTAAAAAATTGTTACAAAAGCAAACAGATGATATGAACAGGTGTGAATATAATAAAACATCTGCTTTTTAAAAGGCTTTAACCAGCTCCAGGTACATTATCCATAGACAGAAACCACTGAGGGAAGCTGAACATATGGTTGAACCTAAAGAAAAATCCCAAATAAAACAGAACTAATGACTGGCATTACAAAATGCAACATGGATAAAGTTTATGTTTATAATTACAGTTAATTTAGGCTAAGTACAGAACCAACCATGATCCAGATCCCCTTTTTAAAAAATCCCCAATCTTCTTTAAAACAAAAAGTAATTTAATTACAGTTCAAAAACAACACTCGACTATCGAACGCCTAGTTGTCCCAGCTTTCTACAAGGACCTGAATGCACCATGACACTCTGCAACCTCTGAGACATGAAGAGGAATTCATGCCAGCTTTTTTCGGGCAGCTCACTGAACAAGTCAGCTGCATCACGTCAAAATTCCCAGTTGTTGCTGCAGATTTCTTTGCTGAAAACCTTTTAACCAAAATAGATATTTCAAATCTGATAACTGCAATAGATTTCTGATGCAATTCTGATCAGCTTTGAGGTGCTACATGACCATTATTCCATTGAAAAAAAAACTGCCCTCGATCCAAGATGGCGGGTTTTAAGATGGCGGTTTTCAAGATGGCGGCCTTCAAGATGGCAGCAATGTTCCAATTACAGCTGGGGATATTTAAATATGAAAATTTCCCTTTAGATTCTGAAATAAATCAGATTTTTGACTATTTCTTATGAGTCCCACTGATGAAATTACAGAATAAAGTGAAGATTAATTTAAAAAGATGCAGATTAAGAGGACTGAGGATGACTCCAAAAGGCTCTTGAGTCGGCCTTGTTCTTTATTAAAGGGTAGTATAACAATGGAAATACACATGACATCTTATACGTTTTTCCCTTTTTTTTCCAGGTGAGATTACATCTATGACCGAAATGTCTCAGAACTAATGGCGCACCCCATGTTGTGAACTTAGAAAATTTATGGAAGACACATCAGTGCTTTGATCACAAACTCGTCCCGACTCTTTGATGGGCGCTGAAATGATTGTGGAAACAGAAAGATAAACGTGTCAGGTTGTACTCAGATTGAGAGGCTACAGTATATTGTCTCCCAGAAGTCTTCCATTTACCAACATATAATTTAAAAATCCTTTAAATAACAATCGACAGGTTAAATTCTTATGTATTAAATACTTGTCAACGTGTCCGTTTTCTAGTGATACTATAAGTGTGGCTTACAAAGTCCCAGCAGGAATTTCCTCGCCGGTGTTTTTTTTCTTCCTTAAAATTTCGCTGCCCGAGATATTATTGCACTGATAATTGAGAGGAAACGCTCTCAAATACACTGTCGGTGTAGAGTTTTGTTTTTGCTTTGACCGGAGGTGGAGGGTAGTGAGTGGTCTGTAGGAGCCTCGGTCGGATATCCGACTCCTCCCACATCCCACAAGTCGGCCATTTTGATTAGGTCGTGTGACTAGCAGCTTTCTGAGGTGGAAACGAAACTTTACTGTCTATACGGAATCGGAAGATAAAGGATGTCCGAACCCTAACCCTGACCCTAAACCCTAACCCCTACCCTAAACCTGACCCTAAACCTAACCCTAACCCTAACCCTGATACTAAACCTGACCCTAAACCTGACCCTAACCCTAAACCTGACTCTAACCCTAACCCTGACCCTAACCCTAACCCTGACCCTATCCCTCCACCCTTCATAATTGTGAGAAATAAATATTTTTTGGTTAAACTTGTTTGGACTTATTGGACAAACCTATAAAAAATCCACTATTTTAACATAATATTATGTATAGAGTTTAATTCAGTGTTTGCAAGATTCATTTAACTATTTTTTAATTCATGTCTATATTGCCATGATACTCAATATTATTTTCGATACCACAAGGATAAAAACAAAAAACCCCAAATTTAACTGAATTTTGACAGGTTAGTGTCTTTGGTTTTAAACTTACCTGTTACTGATGTTATGGTGGCCCACATTAATGACCCTAACCCTAACCCTAACCCTGACCCTAACCTTCCACCCTTCATAATTGTGAGAAATAAATATTTTTATGGTTAAACTTGTTTGGACTTATTGTACAAACCTATTTAACATCCACTATTTTAAAATAATATTATGTGTAGATTTTAATTCAGTGTTTGCAAGATTCATCTCACTATTTTTAAATTAATGTCTATATCCCCATGAAGCAATTAGGATTTTTCTTGCCTGGGATCTTCCTATGGGTGACCTAATCAAAATGGCCGACTAGGATGTGGGCGGAGTTGGGTATCCATCCTTGTTCCTGCAGACTTGATTACCCCCGACGTGGTTCCTCAGACCTCCGACTCCAGGCTGGACACCCTTCCCCAGGGCTTTGGCACAAATGGACTGTTGACCCTCCGGGCCACCAACACCTGCCTCCGCTCTCTACTAGCGGATCCGGGATCGTCCCTCGTTCCCACTCCATCGTACCCGCCAAACACGCCCCCCCCACCACCCGCATGGTGGTACACCGCCGACCCCCGGGGCAACATGGCGGCGGTTTCGGAGCAATGGCCGCCACCTCCACCTCCACCACCACCGCAAGGGAACAGGTGGCACACGTCCCTGGAACCGTTGTAGAACTGGGCGGGGCCTTGAGCCAGAGGCCCAACGTAGACGGGCAGGTCCGTGTACGAGTTCAGGTAGGTGGAGTAGTGTCTGTGCACCACCGTGGAGGAGGAACGGCGCAGGGCGGCGGCGTTTTGGAGGATTGCCTCCCGGTACGAGGGCAGCCGGGTGGACTCGGAGTACTTGAGCTTCTGCTTGTAAGGGTAGGAGCCCATGTGGGCCGGGTCCAGGTAGGCCGGCTCCGCGGCCACCGGGTAGCAGCTCAGGTTGTGCCCCAGGCTGCCGTACAGCCTGCTGTGAGGGGTGGGGCTAGGCCCCGCCCCCCTGGGGAACAGGTCGCCCCCCCGCGAGGACGCGGACGATGGTTTGGTCTCGTCCACCTGCCGGACCCTGTCGTTTCCCCACGTGGCCCTGAGGAAAGACGCCCTCCGGTTGAGCCGGTCCTTCCCCAGGAGGGGGGCGTCGTCCGTATCGGGCTCCAGGTACGACCTCATGCAGGAGTCGCACCCGGGGCTGCCCCCCGGGTAGTGCGTCGCCATGGCGACGGCCCCGGCGGCCCCGGCGGCGGACCCGTCTTGGGGGGCGTGGCTCTCCAGGAGCCGGTTGGCCCTCAGCTCGGCGAAACAGGGCCGGGCAGGGGGATCGTCATCGTAGTCGCGGGCAACCCGCGGGTGGTCCGGGGGGTCGAACACGTACCCGAAGGCCCTCCGGCCCCGCCCCCCCGCGCAGTCGGGGGGGTAGCTGAACTTCCTCCTCAGGGGGGGCTTGTGCTCGATGTAGATGTCGGGCACCTGGAGCTCCCGGTAGTGGACGAAGGGGGACGGGTGCATGGCCGGGTTCTCAACGTATACCCTACTACCGCCCAACTGGTGTGGGCTAGTACCTCCCCCTCCTCTTTCGGTTGGGGGGGCGGGGTCTCGGATTGCGATGTGCGGGCTGCTGAGGCTCGAGATGGGCAGCGTCCGGCCCAGCAGGTGCTGGGCGCCGCGCCCGGGAAGCGTGTAGCGAAGCGGCGTGGGCCGGGGGGGCGCCGCCACCGCCGCGCGGGACTTGTCCAAAAGCGTCTGGCCGCAAGGGTCCATGCCGTAGTGCACCGGGAAGGTGGGCGTTAGCGTTAGCGCGCGGGGGGGCGGGTAGGGCGAGTGGTTGTGGTTGTCCGTGATGCTGGAGATGTTGTAGGGGAGACGGCCGTGGTGGACCAGGTCCACAGACGCCACCCGGGGGGTGGGGGGGGCGGCCCCGGGACGCACGCCGTCCACCGCCCCCCCCCGCCGGCTCCAGTTCTCGATGGTCTTGGTGGCGCTGTCCAGGGAGTTCTCCACCCGCGCCGAGGACACCATGTCCTTGGCCGTCCGCAGCATCTTCAGCATGTTGGCCTGAGAGTAGTTGGTGGTCACGTCCGGGCTGTGCAGGCTGCCGTTGCGCTCCGTCTGCTCCACGCCGTTAAAGCAGCTGTAGATGCCCTGAGAACGGATCAAAGATGAGAATTACCGCCTTACTTATACCCAGGATTAAAGGCGAGAATTACGAATTTACCGACACCAAAACGAATCAATGATCTGCTTTAATCCTAAAGGTTACAGTTAGAGTTGGTTGATTTTTTTGTTATTCCCATAAATGGAATGGTATCAAGGTAAAATACCATAATTATTATTATTATTCCAATAAAATACATCCAGACAAGTGTATTTATGCCACATATTTAAAATGTCTAGTTTTATAAACTTATATATATATAGTTTTTAAGACTAGAATTACGACCTTACTGACACCCTAATCAACCAACGATCTACCTCAATCCTAAAAGTTACAGTCAGAGTTGGTAGATTTTTTTTTATTATTCCCTTTAATGGAGAGTTATCAAGATAAAACAAATCCCACATTTTGATATATATTGTATTACGTTTTTTCTTTTGAGACTAGAATTACGACCTTACATACACCCAAATGAACCAGCAATCCACTTAAATCCTAAAAGTTACAGTCACATTTGGTTGATTTTTTAATTATTCCCATAAGAAAAGTAGATTTAGCCCACGTTTTGAAAATGTGTAGTTATGTTAATATATAACTATATAGTTATTTATATATATGTATGTATATATTTTTTCTGATTAGAATTACGACCTTACCGAGACCCAGACGAACCAACAATCTACTTAAATCCTAGAAGTTACTGTCAGAGTTAGCAGATTTTTTATTATTCCCATAAATGGAGTGTTATCAAGATAAAATACCTCTAGAAAAGTGGTTTTATCCCAAGTTTTGAAAATGTATAAACTAATATATTACAGTTTCTTTTAAAAGACTAGAATTAAGTCCTTACCGACACCCAAGTGAACCAACGATCTACTCCAATCCTAAAAGTTACAGCCATATTTGGTAGATTTTTATATTAATCCATAAATGGAGTGTTATCAAGATAAAATACATCTAGAAAAGTGGATTTATGCCAAATTTTGAAAATGTCTAGTTATGTAAATATATACTTATATAGTTATAGATATATATATATATATATATTTTTTTAAGACTAGAATTACGACATTACTTATACCCAAATGAACCAACAATCTACTTTAATCCTAAAAGTTAAAGTCATATTTGTTAGATTTTTTTATTATTCCCATAAAATATATCTTATATAAATACAAGTTACATATATATATATATATATATATATATATATATAAACTTGTATATATACATATATAAGTTTATGTATATATGATACATTTGGATCAGAGGCTCATATGTTGGTGAACTGTCACTGATTACTGAATAAACAGGATAATAGGGAACCATCCATGTCGTTTTCAGCCAGTTAGGTGAAGGAATCCAAAGTTATGATACATTAAGGTTTGACTCAAAGGCAGCAGGAGGGTTAAAACCATGCCAATACATTTTGGAGAAAACTGGCATTTTTTCAGCTCCACAACAGCTTATTTCTTCATTTTTACACCAACAGCTTATTACTTCATTTTTACACCAACAGCTTACTTATACTTTCAGATTTTGTGTCATTTGTGTCACAAGCTGACCTTTGACCAGCCTCCATGCAAAGATGGAAGCTTTTAATGGAGCAATTTAAATTCAGGCTCCCGGTCCTCCTCATCTTCTCATTTAAAGGAAATCTTCATGGAGTCCTTTTCTGCTCTGGCATCATTTGATCTTGAAGCCCCTTGAATTTTTTTCCGTTGTTTGGCTGTGTGTTTTAGCCCCCTTTGCTTACCCTGCTGATGGCCAGGAGGAAGTCCAGCCGCTCGGATTTTCGGACCGAATGGCGGAGTTTCCAGTAGAGCAGATGCTCCCACGCGAACACCAGCAGGCTGAGGCCCATGGCCACCAGCAGCATGTAGAAAACCCCCGCCATGTTGTCGATGTCCAGCTTGCTGCTCATGACCTCCTTCTTTTCGTTGCGGCAGATGCCCGTGAGCCAGACAGTCTGCAGCTTTTGTGTGTCACCTGTGAGCATGGAACGAAAAAGGGGCTTAATCCCCGATTGTGTTACACTCATCTCCGAACGAATGATTTAACCTCCTGCGAAATGCAATCAGAACAGAATGACATGGGGGGATTAAACCACTCACACCCCACTCCTGGGATCCATGCGGAATCAGAATAACCCAAAATGATGTGAAACCAGTAGGACGAGTGATGGTGGATGGCAGAAATGAAATTGCCCGGAGATAAATGCTACCATGGTTAGGGTTATAATAATCTTAAATAATGTAAAACATAAGGGACGAGCGATGGTGGATGCCTGAAAAATAATTAGGGTTAGGGTTAAGGTTAGAATAACCTTAAATAATGTAAAACATACGGGACAAGTGATGGTAAATGGCCTGAGATAAACGCCACCATGGTTAGGATTAGTGTTAGAATAACCCAAAATAATGTAAAACATGTGGGACAAGTGATGATAGATGCCTGAAAGTAAATAACACCGTGGTTAGGGTTAGGGTTAAGGTTAGAATAACTTTAAATAATGTAAAACATGCGGGACAAGGTTCGGCAAATGGCCTGAGATAAATGCTACCATGGTTAGGATTAGGGTCAGACTAAACCAAAATAATGTAAAACATGCGGGACAAGGTTTGGCAAATGGCCTGAGATAAATGCTACCATGGTTAGACTTAGGGTCAGAATAACCGAAAATAATGTAAAACATGCGGGACAAGGTTTGGCACATGGCCTGAGATAAAGGCCACAATGGTTAGGGTTAGGGTTAAAATGACTGAAAATAATGTAAAACATGCGGGACAAGTGATGGCACATGGCCTGAGATAAACGCCACCATGGTTAGGATTAGGGTCAAAATAACCCAGGATAATGTAGAACACACGGGACGAGTGATGGTGGATGGCTGAAAATACATGGTCTGAGATAAATCCAACCATGGTTAGGGTTAGGGTTAGAATAACTTTAAATAATATAAAACATGCGGGACAAGGTTTGGCAAATGGCCTGGGATAAATGCTACCATGGTTAGGATTAGGGTCAGACTAAACCAAAATA